CGAACTGTTCTCTGAACGGCCAAACTCCCTTGGCATGCTTATCTCTCTATTTTGGCCGATTTCTACTCTTTCCAGCCGCCTCCTCAAGCCTGGTAGAGGCTACATTTCACACACAGACCAAGGCCTTGCAAACCAAAAAACAGACGTGGCACATCGCACCTTGCCACGCTGCACGTGTAAACAAAATACAGTAACAAATACAAACAACAACAGTCTACCATACCTACCCAAACGATTTATGTAAGAAATCCAACATATCTTTACTAGATTTTACTTTTTTGATGAAGATATTTTATGTCATACCAAGGCGGTTCAATCTCTCCTTGGTCATAATATTTAGTGCACAAGAAAATAATTCAAAATCAGATAGTCCGTACGGGTCGGAAAATTCCACGGGAGGTCGCTAATTTTCTTGTGAAATGTCCCACATCCCCCTACCCGCTAATTACCGGGCTTTCTCCTCTGTGATTGGATGGGAAGTGGCCATATTGTTGTTTTTGTCATGTCTGTATTTACCCGTAATAGACCCGAATGTTATCATTAGCAGCTATGTAATAACCACTTGTGAAGGCTGTACCATTTGAATAAAACAGAGGGGTACCGTTGTACAATTCGAACTATTTCCTGACAAATGGCAATGAAATTATGTGCCTACTTCAAGACACTTATTGAATTTATTATTCAAAGAAATAGTTAGTTTATTTATGGGCTAATTCACCTGATATAGGTTATACACCCGTATGTTTTTTGCCATGATACACAATTACGCCCCTTCAAAAAGTTGGATTTTGGTCTCGTCCATTGTCACCAACCACTTGGTCAGTAGGACACAGGCTTTCGCAGGAAGACGTCCAAACTTTCCATGGCCGTGACATTGAAGAGGCATTAGTAGTATTTCTCCTAGTCCTGGCGTTTGACAACTTTTATAGAGAGAAGAGAAGTGCTTTCAGGCCCTGAGAAGGGACCGTCAGTGAAGTTATCTCCGTCAGGGACCATTCGGAACTTCGCAGAGAAGTTTATTGACACAGACGTAGTTGGTTTTCGAGTCACCGTGTCAACTAGTGGAGCGTTCTTGCTTTTTCACGACATTTTGACAACAGTGAAGACCTACAAAAATGGCTTCAAAAACTGCCATTCTAGAAGCTTGATATTTTGTGCCTTCTGGCTATTCTGGAGGCTTGGCTAAAGTTTTTACTGAGGATCCGAGAAGACTTCAACGAGTGGTGAAATTATGGCATACGCAACCGCAGACTTCTTCGGAACTGATGCCGGGTTGTCGTCGCTTCTCCGGCCGGACACCCCGGTGACGTCTGCCGACCGAGACGGGTCGGACAGCTCTCTGCCCTCCTTCGAAGACTCGGGACTCAGTAGCGGCGGGAGTCCGGAGGGTTCTGCCCTGCTCAGCGGAGGCAGTCGCCGCCGACGCCGAAGGAGGAAGCCCCGTCTCACCGGGTTGAGCAAGCAGCGTCAGGCGGCGAACGAACGCGAGAGGGTCCGCATGCAGAATCTCACGGCCGCGCTGGGGGTTCTACGGGAACACATCCCTCCACCAGTCGCTCCTAAAGACAAACGTCTCTCAAAAATCGAGACCTTGAAGTTGGCCATCGGTTACATCGACTATTTGAGAAAAGTTCTCCAAGAATCGGCCGAAAACGCGTCCTCTCTGTTACCACCCTCACTGGAAAGTCTGGCCAAGGAAGACGCAGAGTTCGACATTCACGGAAGTTTTCAGATTAAAGGACAGAACAAAGAACAGAAGTGTCGAAGAAAGGACAGAAACAGAAGACCGAGTCTTTCTACTCCTGATTGCCATGCCAAGAAGGTTAGTCACTTTTTTTTATTCTTCGGACTAATAAATTTCTGTTTCTCATCTACGAGAAACTCCACGTCACACAATTCCTTTTCTTTCCTGACTGTTTTGCGAAGAAGGTTAGTCACTTTTTTTTATTCTTCGGACTAATAAATTTCTGTTTCTCATCTACGAGAAACTCCACGTCACACAATTCATTTTCTTTCCTGACTGTTATGCGAAGAAGGTTAGTCACTTTTTTCTTCGGACTAATAAATTTCTGTTTCTTGTCTACGACTAGTACGAGAAACTTACGTCACACAATTCCTGTTCTTTTGTCATAAGAACGAGAAATGTTTGAACACTAGTATCAGTTGTGAGAACTTCTGTGACACACGAATGTAGAATTTAGAATGTTTTGTAACTTTTTTGAACATCTGGATAAAAGAGAGAGAATGTGAAGATTCAAGTCTACGTTTTGAATTGTTTCATCATTTTCAAAAACGTATGTTTAGAAAATCTGGCGGGCATTGTGGAAACGAAAAAACACTCTTGAAGTTGGGAAAAATATGTTATTTTCTTGAATAAACATTAATTTATTATCAGAAAAAAGGGATTGTAAAAAAACTAAGATGGGGATTCGTGCGTTTCGACCGTTTATTGCCCCAAAGTGCTTTATTTTAGTCTAATCACCCCATTCGATTCAATCTAATTTAAGTGTTAGAAGCAGTTTTGTCTCGTATGTTTAAGCACCCATTCAGTGATTACAGGTTTGGTTCGGGCTTGTAAAAATTAGGATATTTGAAACCTAATTAACATGTTGACAGCAAGAGATTATGAAATTGATACGTCAATCATGTACAGGTGAGAATAAGAAAGGGGGCTAGCAAGGGCACAGGGCGAGAAAAAAGACCTAGCTACGATACAGGCCGGTACTAGTAGTTTAGACCGAGTCGTAAGTTGAGCATGGCTGTGCAGGCCTCCGGGCGGGTGGGAGTTTTGATACTGCGTTTTGTAGAATTTTTAAAGCGTTTTTATTTGCCGGCCATCCTACAACCAGCCACCCGGAGAAGGCTTGTACCCGCCACAGCGTTGAAAATTCTACAAAACGCAGTATCAAAACTCCCACCCACCCGGAGGCCTGCACAGGAGGCTAGAGCATTGCCAAGTCACATATACCATTGAGGTATAATACATGTAGAAACTTCCATGCATATACTAGAATAGGGCATGTACGTCGAGCGATCGCAAAGAGATGTATTCTTGGTGCATGTGTCCTCCATAATTCCTGTATGTACTGATGTTTTTTTTTTTTCACAAAATAAAGGGATAGTATACCAGAGAAGATCCAGGGCCATAGAAGCTCCAATTTGCGATCCTATGACCCTGGATCTTCTCTGGTATACTATCCCTTTATTTCGGCCAATTTCTACTATTTTTCCAGCGATCCGCGGTGCCTGGTAGAGGCTAGTTTCAACTCAGTATGTAGATATTGGCTTTGAAAAATTGTGTTTTCAAGCCCTAAAGACGGCATGCCTTTAAGTACAGGTGTTCCATCCCGTGACTACCTGTTGTTTTTGTTTTCATAGTGTGTTGACGTCCCGCCATGGCGTGTGAGCGCCCGGCTATCCCTTCTGTTGACTTTGACACCGAGCGGCGCTCATTAGTATGTGTCTCCACTTGAAGGGTCAACACAAATCCACTTTTCACACGACAATCTGTGTGCCACCCGGCGCACAAATACACGTCTACACACCGAAACATTTTGCAGAGGGGAAAGTATTAGACCAAGTTTACAAGAAACAGAAAAATAACGGTTCTTTACCTTTTCATGCTTCCAAATTGACTTGATATTTAAAGGACAAAAATACGACGGAGAGGCGACAGTTGAACACAAAGATTATGTTTGTTTTCTTTTTAATTACCTCTTTTCCAACGCTTTTGGGAGATACCGTATGAAACTAGCTATTCTAACGCTATAAACTTTGTAGTGCATCTGTATCTCAATATTGTACGAATGATCTTTCATTTTAAGGGAGTCAGTTTAATTTATCTACATGTAGAATATACAGGTATATAAAAGTCAAGGTTGATAGAAAACCAAACCAGGGACATCCATACACTTAACATACCAGTGGTATTGTGCGGCAGTGTAAGATATTCAAGACTACGTAAGAATAATCTTCCATTGCTATAGAGCCGGTGGCTTGATTTCCAAACGTTTAGGACAAAGAGAAGAAAGGCATTTTGACTCTGGAGTCGCCCCGAGCCGTGCAGGTGCGATGAGTGTTTTTCATGGCTATTGTCTGTGGGTCTGCCCCGCAATATTTACTCTGACATGAGGGTGGCGGGGTCACTGGCGTGTGTATGCCGGCGGGGATCGCGTTTCTCCCCGCTTGTTACCGTGTAGTAACAACCCGGACCACCTCAAGCTATACCGAAGGTCGGGTAGCCTACTTTGCCCGCAACGTGTGTACCTACAGTGGGGGGTCTCTGGAAGACAGACGAAAAATGTCCAGACTATGCATGTACGAAATGACTAATAAACTGGTGAACGTACCAACTACCAACTACGAAGTACCTAATACCAGCCCAGAAGATAACAAGAAATAGTCAAGCCTTCAAAAACTCATTCTTTCCTAGAACTATCGCAGAGTGGAACTCGCTGTCACCAAGTACAATAGGGGCATTATCATTAGATAGCTTTAAACAATGTTTAGAGTTAAATGTTCAAGGGTTAGGTGTAACGAGTCGTTCGGTGTAATCACTATAATGTAGCCAGCTGCCGCCGCGCCGCGTGCCTGCGAAGCTGGTGTGTTGCGCCGAAGGGCGGTCATACCGGCTATACAGATACAGACACCTTTTTTTTTCATTGCGCAGTTTTGTGATAGCTGGCGTTGCGACGGGGTCGCATACCGTCGTAGGCCATCGTACGATTTTGATGTCGTACTCGTACAATTTTCAAGCAGACTGTGACAGAACCAACAACCGACAAAATTTAAAGCATTTTCTGTAGCAATACAGCACAACACGTGCCCGACTTTCCTCCGCCTGCCCTTGTGATCGTGCGGTGTTCGTACGACAAATTTAACGGCGTCGTGCGAAATTCGTGTCGAACTTTCTCGTTCCTATTTCTGACTACCCCTTTAATACGCCGCCCTCTCCGTTTCACGCCGTACGTATATCGCGTTGCCACACGTAAATATTTCACAGATGCACCGGGCGTATCTGTTGATACCGCGGGGGTAGATGTTGATAATGACCGGGAGGATTACCTATCGTACGTACGGCAGGTGCAGGGGGATAACTTTTCACACCTTTTGTCCCCCGAAGCCCTGACACCATTGACTCCCCAAGCTTTGGGTCAAATCCCCCGCTTTCAAGAAAAATAAAGATGGTTTCAAGAGCAGGGGAGTCTGTTTTATTTGCATTGTCTCCAGGGGTAACCTCGCTGGCCCCCGTGTTAGGTGACCGCTCACTGCAGGTGTGGGGAAGAAACGCTACTCTGTGTCAGTTTGTATAACTTATCGTGGCCTTTGACGGCTACGGGTAGGGATGAAAAGGCACCCTTACTAGGTGTTAGTAGCCTAGAATTCAGACTGTTGGCGGGGCCTAGCTTGTCTCCACCAGACTCCTTTTGCAGGCTGAATAAATCGTAGAAATCGGCCTAAAAAGGGCATATAATTGGCCAAAGAAGTTTCCCGGCCTTCGAGAGTCCAATTGGCCTGCACCTGCCCTTTTTAGGCCAATTTCTACGATTTATTCAGCCTGAAAAAGGAGTCTGCTGGAGACTAATGCCTAGCTATAGCCTCTACCAGGCTTCATAGGTGGCTGGAAAGAGTAGAAATTGGCCAAACAGACAGATAACATCCAGAGCAGCAAACTGTACTCCTTTAGCGGACTAACTCCCCTTGCATGTTACCTGTCTATTTGGTCGATTTTTACTTTTTCCAGCCGCCTCTGCAGCCTGGTAGAGGCTAAACATGGCCTACAAGGTTCTTCGGTACCAGATCCAACCTGCCCAGCCCTTTTTTAAATTTTGAGAGAAAGATTTATTAGCCTAGGGCTGACAAAATCACCGGATGAACTTAGTTGGCCAGGCGGGGATAGAAGCTTACTAGTGCCGAGGAGACCCAGCAAACAGCCCCGGAGGTGATCAGGTTAGGTGTTGGACGTAGGCTTCGGGAAGCGACTGGAAAGAGTAGAAACTGGCCAAATAGACGGCTGATATGTCTTCGGGAGCGGCAAACTGTTCTCTTAAAAAACGGGCCCCTGGCATATCAGCTGTCTATTTGGCCAATTTCTACTCTTCCCAGCCGCTTCCCGAAGCCTGGTAGAGGCTACTTGGACGTATATGTCTAACGATGGGTGGCAACACCCTCGCCTGGTTCCTAAACATGTCCGCCCTCATGTGCCTCTGGACAAATAAACTTGTTCCGAAGGGCCTGCCACTTCAAACAACAGTGGACGTGATACAAAACTTACACACACGATGCCACTTGTGTTCTACACAAGATACCCTCTGTGTATCTTTCGTGATTTTAAGAAAGAAAGAGCCATGCGTTCAAGTATAAGAGTTATCAACCAAGGGTTGAGGTGCTAAAAAAATCATTCTTTCCTAGAACTATTGCAGAGTGGAACTCGCTGTCACCAAGTACAGTAGGGGCATTGTCATTAGATAGATTTGATTACTAATGATTAGAGTTAGATGTCCAAGGGTTAGGTGTAACAAGTCGTTCTGTGTAATGTAGTCAACTGCCGCCGCGCCGCGTGCTTGCGAAGCTGGTGTGTTACGCCGAAGTGCGGTTATACTGGCAACACTTGTCTACTCATCACTTCCTCTTGTTTTGTTTTCAGTCCGTCTTTTTTTCTGAAGCAGCTAGAACTAAAAAACGACATATTCAACATTTTTCTGAAACGTGTGGATTTTGTGAGTTCTCTGTAAACTTCTGGAAATTTCTTTAAAAAAGCTCCCTTCTTTCGTGATTGATCGTAGAAGGGACATGAAGAAATAAAATGTATTCCTTCCTCCACCAAATTTTTACGTATGACATCTACGTTCTCTCGTACACATGTAACTTCCTATATATATACTGTTGTATGTATAAATTTCTCTCTCTCTCTCTCTTGGCTTCGCTGACTCAAAAATACGACTATACCATAATAAATATATTAAGCATACAATTTCGGATGGACTTCGTAGACCTTGGGAAGAAACAATGGTCCTGATTGATTTACATGAATGACTGTACTCTCCAAGCAGAGGTTTGGGGTTATTTTTAGCGTGTTTTTAGGCTTTTTTATCGGGGTTTCTCTTTTGCACTGATTTTTTTTCCTACCAAACCCAGAAAAAAAAATTCAGTGCAAAAGAGAAACCCCGATGAAAAAGCCTCAAAACACGCTAAAAATAACCCCAAACCCAAACCTCTGCTTGGAGAGTAGAATGACTGGGCAGTGTTTAGATGTTTGTGCTTGTCGCTAAGAATTATATCTCTCCGTGTTTAGGTACACACACAGGTGTGAAACTGGGAAGTCTACTACAAATCCGGCAATCCATTTTAAATTTCACATACATCAAACGGAAAACAGACATTTCAGTGACATTTGAACATAGCTGTATCTTTGTACGTACGTAGTAGCCTCTACCAGGCTTCGGGAGGCGGTTGGACGGAGTAGAAATTGGCCCAACAGAGAAAACATGCCGAGGGAGTCGGTCCGATACAGAGTACATTATTACATGTACACTCGGGTGTGGCAAAATATACTCTCTAGCGGACCAACTTCCTCGGCATGTTATCTCTCTGTTTGGCAAATTTACTTTCTTTCCAGCCGCCTTCCGAAGCCTGGTAGAGGCTACGTACATACGTATATTTCATTTATAAGGGTTTTTAGTATTAAAACAGCTAGCGTTAACATCGAGTAGTTACACGTGAAAAAACTGCACTAGAGTGTAACTTTACGTCCGTGTTTTGGTGTTTAGAATTGTCGCAAGGTGTGCGGTATGTACCTGTGTTTTACCCGCCACACAGGTGCGCTACACTTAAGGTGTGAACAGGTGTGGGGCGCGGTCTTAAGGGCCCAATAACGCTTAACAGACGGGCGATGACAGTTCGCAGTAAATAGTCTCCTGGTTGTTACAATGTGCGATGTTGTCAAAACCTTCTCTGAACTTTAGACGTGAAGGTTCGTGTATGGGAGACCACTTAACTCCTACATTTGGGACGTTTACTCATTCCCAAAATTTCTCACCTTTTCCTTTCTGCAGTCTTTAACTGTTACATTGTCAATTGTTGTTTATCCTAGTGATGATTGTACCCAAACAGTACATGTTCGAAAGTGACGAATTCTTTCGTTATCTCCTTCCTTCCTTCCTTCCTTCCTTCCTTCCTTCCTTCCTTCCTTCCTTCCTTCCTTCCTTCCTTCTTTCCCCCTTTCCATTTTTTCTTCTATCCTTTCATACGCCGATGAAGGTTAGACATCCAGGTAAAGAGATACACAAGAACACCGTTATTCAAGCAACTGGTTAGATTTGGAAAACTATCCTTTTTTTCAAAATCTGTCCATTTGCTGAGGTAACCATTTTCTTGTGCTTCTTTCCTTCTATTTCTTTCTCTCCTTTCTTCTTCAATTGTGATGTATTGTATTTGATGGTGTCAATGTTTCTGGTACTTTCAGAGTCAGCTAACGAAAGCAGGGTCAAGACCGACAGCTGCCAAGGTACAGCTCAGACCGCCCCCCGTGTCACCCTACTGCCCCAAGCCAGGGAGCCAAGACGAGGTGTCGGTCAAGCTGGAAACATGATCACGATGGACAAGAAGAAGTCGTAGACATCATCCTTCCATGAAATAGACCTACACAATCCACCTTACCCCACCTAGCCACCTGCCAAATATCATCCCATTCTGACGGATCTTGAGATATACACCAAAACATCATCCAGACTGAAAACAGCACCCACTATTTTCATGGAGGGTAAAAATGGTGTTATTGCATTAGAATTGGACTACTACTATTAATCCCCAAGCAGGTGTAGGGTCTAGCTCGGTGTTAACGCATGTTTTGAGGTACTTTCTCTACTAGTGGTTCTCATTTGCACGTCGTTTCAGCAACACGCATGGAACACCGAGCCGAAGCCTACGTCTGCTTGAATATTGCATCATCTTTTTTCATCGTAAACGTGAACGTTGTTACATGTACGTATGAAGGACTTCTGACTACTTTTAAGTTCCGTGAATGTGCTGTGTGCAACGGGATAAGATACCAACGTGAAGAAATAAATGTCTCCGCCTCAGGGACGTCGCCAAAACTAAATTCCAAAAGAGGCTAGCGACGTGCTAGCGACGTACTAGCGACGTTTTGTCTGTGATCTATGTTTTTGCTCGTGAGGTTAAAAAAAGTTGATCATTGAAGTGTCTTCAGAGATATAACTATGACATTATTGACGAATGTGTTTGGAAATTATTTCGATATTTGACTTTGTTGCATTATGAAATAGGTTTGTATTTTTGTTACCGTTCGAGTTTTGCTTGCTTGCGATATTGTTCTATCTAGCTCTTTAGTATATCACAGGAAAACATTAAAAAGTTCTTGTTCCTATCCAGTTTACATATCTATTGAATGTGTTGTGTGTGAGCTGTTGTTACTTTGTATTTTTTCTTTACTTCATACCAAAGAGGCAGGGAGGAAGGCGACAAGGAGGTACATTACAGAATTAAGTCATTAAGATTGATTTATCGTGAAGGCTATTTTTTTTACTAAGACAACAAGTAGACTAAGTTGTCGTTAGCAGAGGAGCACGCATGTATGTGTGTACCAGCCTTGCAACTGAGACCATAGGCTCCTAGCTACTAGCTGTGAGAACTGCCCGCCCGCCCAGGCCCATTTCAAGCTGTGTAACCTCTACCAGGTTTCGGGAAGCGGCTAGAAAGAGTAGAAATTGGTAAACTGATAGTCAGATGATATGCCGGGACAGCGCTCCCGAAGCTTCTAAGTATAGGACTGGGGCCGGTAAAACATAGCCTCCTGTGCAGGCCCCGCGGCGGTGGGGAAGAGTTTTTAACGCGTTGTTTTAATATAGCCGGCCATCCTACATAGCCGCCGAGAGAAGGTTGCTTTGGCGGAAAGCAACCGCGGGGCCTGCACAGGAGGCTAGGTAAAACACCGCACTAACCCAGTGTAGAGTGACACAGTGTAAATACTTTTAAAAATTTTGCTGTTTTTAACCGCTTGACTATGATCGCCACCTATTGTAAATACTTTTAATAATTGCTGTTTTTAACTGTCTTTAATAATTGCTTTTAATGTTTGTGCCAACCGTTTTTAACAATTTGTAATGCGGCAGATCAATTCAGGGCCCTGCGGGGACCCTGCTACTCTGTACAGCATAGTATGAAAGAAATAAACCAGTATTATTATTATATTATTATAGAGGATGGTGAACCAGGCTATGTTTGTGTTTTCGCGCCATCTCTGAGAAAAGCCCGCGCGGCTGGGCCGTCTCTCCCTGGTCCCCTGACAACCTGTACAGTGAGCCCGAACACCTGGTCAGCCCATCCGGGTGGAGGGACCGCCCTGGCCGGGAAGAACTCAGAGAACAGGCCCGTTACACTGACGGAGTCGTCCCCGAGCCTCTCGACCGAGTATTGCTGCAGAACTCTGAAAATGGGCGCAACATTCCGCATGAACACGGAAGCATAACGACAGAAAAAAATGTACTCTTGCAAGGAAGGCATCCAGAAAAACAAAAAAACTAACACCACCAAAAAAGACACAAGACACACATTGTACAAAAAGAGTGAAAATGCAAAAAGCTTTATGTATTCCAAACATTACTTAATTTGCCAGAAACTGTGAAGTTTAGGCACTGGGAACTTAAAGTTACCTGCAGTATTTGACATTGAAACACCTCGAATCGGAGACGATTATCTCTGAGTCATATTCTGAGTCGGGAACTTCGTCCCCTTCAAGGAGACCACCTGTCCAACCCGACCGTTTTACTCCGGTACCCTGGGTGGCCGGCTTGAGCAGGTTTGACTGACCATACATCTGCTTGAAGGTCATTGCCGCCAGTGCTGTGCAGTGACCTTGACTTGAGTTCAGTCGGTCAGGTTCAGGTTCCCCTCCCACCAGACCGGTCTCCCCAGTGTAAGCCGCTAAGCCTCTGACGCCTTACATAATAAATAGGAGTTAAGCCACAATTGTACTATGGTGAGCAGTGAAGTTCAGGGTGGCAATACATAAAGTTACCATGTTATAAAGGGACAGAACAGGACCGGTTCTTGAGTTACCTTCCTTCGAAAAATTTTGAACAAACGCTCCTGCAGTTCCAGAACAAGCCACTAGGGGGCCCAAACTCATGTCACTTATTCCCTAGCCAAAGAACTATCTACCACCCAAAATTTGTGACCCTAGCATGTCTAGATCGCGAGATATCAAAAGCGGAAGTTCTACTGCAGTACCAAGGAAATTCGCCAGGATCTAATCATTTCTAGGACTCATCAAGACCTACCCACGTACCAAGTTCTTTGACAATGCATATAAAGCTTCTTGAGTTATGTTGTTCACAGATGGACAAACGCTACTAAAAACTAACCTTCTTGGGGAAGGTAATTATATTATAACTGTCCTGAGAGATAATTGATGATGACAATATGGCCAGCTGCAGTTTTTCCATTGTCAGTCCAACTCGTGATCACAAATACATGGATACAGTAGTGCTTTCTACACATTTATGACTCTATGAAAAATGAAATCCCACCAAGCACTCATTGAAATCATCTGTTTTTTTTCCAGCTATGAAATAAAATCTTACTAAGCACTAGGCCCACAATGTATAAGACAGTTCCAAATTGGCAACATCCAGTTTAACAGACCTGTCTAATATGTTGTCCAAAGCCAGGTGTGTCATGTTTACGGGTACGGGAAGTGAACCCATGTTGCCTGGTCCCATCTGTCCCTGTTCTCTCCTGACAGTGTGCCATCCCAAGTCTGCACTCCAAACAAACTCACTGTCAGCAGCTGTACACAGGAGAGGGACCACAGCAAGGCTGTTTCCAACCTACAGTTCTTCATTGAAGTCCTCCCCTTTTATGCTTACCTTTGCAGAAGGAAAACATATTGTTTTTGCTCAGTTTCTTCTTCCCAAAACAAATAAGGTCAATGACCTGAACCAGACGTCTGTCACCATGGTAACTAGTGTTGGGTTACAATTTATAATGTTGCAATTTCATAGAAGGAGGGATTTGGACTTCTCCCAGATTCCGCCGTTTGACAGCTCCCCTAAGGTAACAGACATGCAAGAAATTGAGGACAGGAAATGAGATAACCTTTTCTTGGACCTTTGGCCTAACTTCCTGTCAGTGTTCCTAAAGTGCCTAGCATGTGTAAATAACTATGACACACAAGTAAATGTACAGAATGTATACCCCAGTTTAGTAATATGTACATGTTCTACACATTAGTACATGTATGTGTGTATTCATATGGGAACAACGACAAAATTAAATGTTAAGAAGATTGAATGTAATCTTAACATTTATTTAATTTCTACACAAAAAGAAATGTACACCAAATGTGGTTCCTTCTACTAGTGTTTCTTTATTTACATTATGTACACACGCAACATCACAAACTATACATTGGGAAGACACAATAAAAGATACCCTCATATACATAGTAGTATGCACCTATCAATGCAAATATTTTAAAATACCCAGTATAGCACTCCAGGGGAGCTATTCATATTAAACATGTACATGTAAGTGCACTTAGTGCAGTATAGTACTACCATGGATCAAAAATGCTTTGGTAATGTTAGAAGTAGGAGATAGGTATATAAAGGAAGATAACGAGTTTGGTGAGTCTGACCAATCACTGAACAGGAGTTTGTTGAGTCTGGCCAATCACTGAACAGGAGTTTGTTGAGTCTGGCCAATCACTGAACAGGAGTTTGTTGAGTCTGGCCAATCACTGGAACAGGAG